GAACTGAATTTGCTGCTGATTTTGTGGATCTTGGCTTTGTTGCTGTGTAGTGTGTTGTACCACCTGTTGAGATTGTGTGTACTGAGTTCCGGCTTGAGATTGGTACCGTTTGGAGAGAAGTTGCAGAAGATTTTGATCTAGTTGTGGCTGAAAATTCTGATTTGGTTGTGGTTGTTCAGATAGAAGCTGTTGTTGTTGTTGATAGTAGTGATAGTTATAGTAATACTGTTGCCACATCAGCTGGTTATAAGCTTCATTGCTCTGCATCTGACCTTGTTGGTCGTTACTTTGCACTGGATTCTGAGGAATCTGAGTCTGAGGATAAGCAAAGGATGTTTGAACCTGAGATGCAGAGTATTGATATTGGTCCAGCGGATTCGGTGAGATTGAGCTTTGAAGTGTTGCTGCTGGATTGTCTGAAGGGGCTACACTGATGTTCTGACCAACAATCTGGGTTTGAGGATAAGCACTGGACGTTTGAACCACGGGTTGCAGCTGAGATGCGGAGTTTTGACATCGGTTTTGCGGATTCTGTGAGATTGAGCTTTGTAGCCCTGATCGATTTTCTAGAGGAGAACCCCCCATGCGCTGACCGATAATCTCCCGCCTAGTTTCGACTGGAGAATACGACATCTGAGGCGGTCTCTCATGAGAACGAGGTCTCAGATCTCTGCGATTCTGGGTTAAATCTCTTCTATGATACCTGTTTCGACCAGCTTGCCTGAGATACTCTTGGTTTTGGTAACTTTGGGAGCTCCTTGACCCACTAGGTTGGATCACTATAGCATCAGATTCCAAAGTATCTACTGAACTGGACGAAATATGAGCTGGTTTAGCAACAAACCCATGCTTTGGCGTGGCTTGGATCGGTAGGCTTAATTCACGAGAGTGTTCACCACCTTCATCCGCCTTTAATCCCATGGACGGATCACTCTGTGACTCACAGGTATTCTGCCTCTCTGCAACATTATTATTTCCTTCAACTTGAAGTCCTGAAGCCAGAGACCCCAGAGTAGGCTCAGTGTTTAAATAGTCAGACCGAACAGCATCTTTAGATTGAGCACCATCAGCGGAGTTCACAGGTGACTCTTTCTTTTCTTCCAGTGGCAAAACAACTGTGCCACCAATGCCTTTGTCTGTTAATAGGGCTTGATTCAAGCACTCACGAGCCTTCTCTCTTCTCTGAATCAACTCTCTCAATGAATTCCCCGAGGGACAGGGCCCATGTAACTTGGATGTAGCAGAATGTGGGAATAATTTTATGTGTCGACCCAAAGCCTTCCTCACATCATGGATGGTTCCAGAGAGGTCAACAAACTGCTCAAAACCGAGAGCAATTACTAAGTATCAAACACATTATATACGATCGAGAAATGAGAGAAAATGAAATAGAAAAGGTCACAAGCAAGAAAAGCCATTGATTCTCCTAGCTGTAAAAGAAACCTTACCTCCATGTATAAATTTGATATCTCCTCCTTGTCCTCTGCGCTCAAACCATCGGAGGAATCTGCCTGGTGAGATATTTCTCTATCTATGATAGGATCTAACAAATCCACTTGTCGAGACCCTCCATGCATCATCAAGAGTCTTATAAGCTCCTGTTAGCACAAAGTAAAAACAGCGATTGAAGCTTCAAATTGTCAATAGACGCTTATAAAATTTCAGAGGAGAAATATGATTTCCAAATGGGAAATCGTGATTAATTGTTTGAAGCGATTCAAAATTTCAGCCAATAACACCTCAAGAAGTAACTTGCAGTGAGGAACTTTCTCATTGCCCTCTATTAGAATCTGAGCTGCCTCATCAGCATTGTTTGTTATCTAAGAAATGAAGGAAACGTCAGATAAAGAAAGATATCCAAAATATGTGATGCATCGAAAAGAATGTAGTGACCCAAACAGTTCCCAGAGCTCAAAATGTTGACATGTTAATATGACCCTTCGCAAGTCACACATACTACTTACCATGTAGTTGAGGCGAGAAAATTGAACATACAACAGTGCGGTGATTTCCAAGTTTTCTTTTCCAATGAGTGTTTTCTTGAGCGCCTCTCTGTATGTAGTAACAGCTGCTTTAAAATTACCCTACATGAAACACTGCATAGTCAGATATTCTCGACCACTAAGTCATCAAAACTAAATGGTACCGAGTAGTGTATCATCCATACCAGACGCTTTTCCATGTTAGCCTTCTTAGTTACATTTCCAACGAAACCAAAACCAAGTTCCTCGTCACATCGAGACAGAGCAACAGAAGCAGCAGATGCATCTCCAACGTGTTCCTTGAATCTTGCATTGAACAGATGGATAACAGATGCATTCTACAACGATACATCAAGTGAATGTATGATCCGAGATGTTCATCTTCCCTGTTCTTAATACACTAAAGCAGTTGTAATCCCATTTACCTTGACAAAAGTTTGTGATGCTCGAGCTAAAGCAAAGTTTGCTAGCTCCCTTCCACCGTTGCTTTCAACAAAATCCACATAGCGTAACCAGAACTCAGTGTAATTAGCGCATGGTACTAAGCATCTCTCATAAAGCTTGATAGCCTGCAATTAAAAAATGAAATAGTTTAGATACAAAAAAGAAAGGAACAAGAGGCAAACTAAACAAGAACCCAAGAAATTCCCCTACCCAATCAAAGTCCCCATATGTTTCGGCAAAGCTCAAATACGCATGCCAATTGTCCAGCTGATCAGAGTCTAACGGAATTACATGAAAATAAGGCCTGCGGATATGTGTCTCAAAGCAACTTATTTTTTCCATCAACTGCCGTGATTCTTGATAAAACTGTTCTCCAATTGATAAATATGCATGCAGCGCTTTTGCCACAGCCGAGCGAGAGGAAGGACCCATTAAATCTCTTATAACAATAGAGATCTCCTCATCAGTATGACGTGTAGGGACCAAATCTTCTTCCATGGGGTCTGACGAAAGGTCTCCGTTAACATCTATCCTACATTTAATCTTCTCTTTCAAAGAAGCTGCAATCCTCTTGAAGCTGCAAAAAGTAAAAGACAAGTATAATGTAATGGATAAAGACAAACTTAAGTCACAAGAACTCGAAGTATCAGAACAATAAAATTGTCAATATAGAACATCAATAAACGAACATACTTCTTGTAATAAAAATCCAACTTTTTGGATGGATATCTCAGGGTCCGGAGATATACATGAGCCAATGAACTCCACTGCTGCTGGGCCAAAATAAATTCTATATATTTGTCCCAAAGAATGCAGCAAGAATAATCTTTTCCAACAAACGAAAGGCCTCTCTCAAATAATCTGCCAAATAAAAATTAACCGGTGAACAACTTAAACACTTGCAGCCAAATGGTGAGTAAGATTGCTGTTGAGTTTTAAATAAAGATGGAAATTTTAAATAATTGGTTACTCAAAGAATGAACACAAGGCCTACTAAAAATTCAGAAATACCTACTAACATCATGAGGATCTTCATAGGCAGCAACACCGAAAGCGCAATAGTCGAGCCATACAGCTACAGAATAAGTAGCTGCTTGTACAGCTCGTTCGAAAACTTCAACAGCATCTTCTAAAGTGCATAACTTTATCTTATGGTAAGCATATTTCCTCCAATAGCCATGGCACAATGGAAACTCCAACAAGAAAGCATCGTACACTAAACATAACTTCTCAATATCATCCTACAATAGCAAGTTCAACGATTTTAGTTCCTGAAGTTTTGAAATTTAAACAAGAACCCTAATTTTGGATCACGAAATCAGGAGACTTTAGATTGAATGGAACGCAAAATTGAAAACTTTGCACCGAATGCGACTTACTGGAAACGAATTCTCTATTTCGGATATTAGCAAAGTCCATTCATCAAAATCAAGACTGGAGAAAATTTCTTTTAGTCTCTCGTTATCGAAGAAATCTGCAAACAAAACCAACTAAATGAGCTGACTTAAGATTCTACTCGCTTCTTCAGACTAATGGTGAAACTGCTCTGCAATGGAGGAAACCCAAAACTGATGCAGAGAGAGAGGAAGAGGTTAATGGTTTTACCAGTAGAGCCGCCTGATTCTGATGGCGGAGGCATTGGTTCCCTACCGGAGACGGCGGTGCTAACCTCCGTAGTCACCATTAAAGGACACGACTTAAAATTTTATTTCTCAGTCAGGGGATTTCATATGACTGAAATGATCTGTTACTCCCTTAATTTAGCTACAATTTAGATGATGCCCCTAATGTTTTATTTTATTTTTGATACACCCAATTTCACAGCTGCGTTACACATGAATGTGATTATTATTAAATGGTCTTTGAAGTTAGCCAAAATTACACTTCATCCCCATATGTTTCTTCTCGTATCTTGGACGCCCAAACTTTACATGACTGCACTTATTATCAAATGTCCCTTAAATTTAATCAAAATTTCATTACCACGACAAATGTTTTCTCTTAGGATCGCAGTTGTTATATGGCCTTTACCCTTTAAGTTTAGCTAAAATATAATTTACACCCAAATGTTTCCTTAATCTTTAAGATAACCAAAAAATTGGCTTAAGTTTTCATCACGTCTCAGCTGTGTTGGACAATGTTGCACTTGGACAAACGTTCTTTCACTTCATCCCAAGCTGCTTAATCATATTGTATCATTAAACAAAATATTAAAACGAGGTTAATAACTTAATGATCTAATTTTCAAGTGGTATAGAAACATAATAATCAAAGATTCAAGAATTTAACTAAACCTGGTAAATTTCTGAAATCAGGTTCAATTCCACCACCATTGATATCCATATGGTTAGGTGTGACGTACTTTCCTATTGTCACAACAACTCCTGAACCATCTCGGAGTTCAAACACCGATTGAATCAAACCCTGAAACCCATAATTTAATCCACAAGAAGATCACAAACATTTCAAATCGATAGATTCGCTACAAAACTATTTAGACTTTGGAAATAACCTTTCCGTAAGTTCGTTCGCCAACAAGAACTGCTTTACAGTTATCATGAAGTGCAGAAGCCACCTGTAAAAACAGACAAATTCATTTGGTTTAGTGATCCAGAGGAAGACGAGCTTCTGTGTTTCATCCATTGAGATTACTCACAATTTCACTAGCACTTGCTGTTCTGTTATTTACCATTACCTGCAAGCATGATAAGGATTCTAATCAGCTCATGATGCTAAAGAGCATTATAATGTGATAAATTAAATGGCTTACATGATCCATCACGTACAATAAGTGGGGCAGTGATCAACGGTTTTCCATCTGCAAGAACAGTTTTTTGAGCCTTGGTGTCTCTCCCGGCTGTATATATCACCTGTTACGCAGTTGAAACATACAAACAGGTATCAAGTAAATCGCGATGAATCTCTTCATGTAAGTTGAAGTAAGCTATTCTGTTTGATATTCCTGAAAAACGATAGTTTTGAAAGTTCTAAAAGATTGCTGATTTACCGTATCCCCTTCATCTAGGAACAGCTTAGCAGTTTCTATTCCAGCCTGAAATAACCAAAATTAAGCAACGAGGGCTAAGTGAAGAATCAAGTACATACATGTAAAACATTTGTGAGATATGGTCTCAAGTTACAGTTGTTAAAAGAACCTGCACAAGTCCACCAAGGTTATCTCTAAGATCCATTACGAAATAAGATGCACCCTTTTCTTGGAGTCGTTTCATTGCTGCACATAATACAATTGGTAACCATAAACACAAGGAGATAAAAATGATGCAACTGCAAGTTACTATCTTTGATGTGATAGGATAAAACATGAACATGCTTTACCAGTCACCAAATCTTTTCTAGCCAAGGCATTGAACTCTTTCAATCGGATATACCCGACAGAGATTTTCCCATTGTCAACTTTTTCCAGCCGATAAGAGACTGGAGTCTGCGCATTAACTTGTCTCTGGACTTCAATTGACTTAAGTGGTCCACATTTCCCATGCTTCACCTACATATGCATACACATCATAAAATCTTCGAAGAAACACCCAATTAAATCAAGTATTCATGTATTTAGTCTATATTTTATAATAACCTTGAGTTCCACATAAGTTTTACTAGGGCCTTGTAACAAAGATAATACTTCAAATGATGATTTCCCACTAACATCCATTCCATTGACAGCAATAATTTCATCTCCCTAGCAAGAGAAAGACATTGCACACTTTTAAGTGAAATCAGCAACCAAACAAAACTACTAGAAAGAAACTAGACCGGTTCTCACCTGTTTCACGCCAGCGATGTCAGCAGGACCATCCAGTACAAGACCAAGAACCTTCAACTTTACATTTCCACCACCATCAGAAACTTCTCTAAGGTTTATTCCAATACCGGAGATGTCATACTTCGACATCCTGGAAAACTTCAACAAGTGACACAACCAAAGAAATGTGTAACTGAGACAACTTAAGACTCATCCATCAATCAAATTCATAGAATCCAAATACTGAATATAGAGAATCTAAAAACCTCATCCGGTGAGAGAAATCGAGTGTATTGGTCACCCAAACTGGCTAACATTTTCTTAATCACCTCATGAGCCTTTGATCTACTCTTAATTGGACTAACCAATATCTCTTCCTTCTGTTTCTGCAAAGTAAAAACAGCCAAAAAAATTCAATCTTTACACATAAAGTTTCTTCCTTTTATCAACCCACCAAGCTATTGAACATACCCACATAGATTATTTAACTACCTGCCAAGTTTCAGGAGTCCATCTATGGCTTCGAGTATCGAGAAAAGCGCCATTAACAATCTCCCAAGCTTCTTCAACAATCCCTTCATTAGTTACTAACTGCGGCTTGATTTCATCCTCTGGGGTCTCAGTATCAGCTTCTTCTTCATTAGGGCAATCTTCCGGAGACGAATCGAAGTAATTCAGAGAAGAATCAGGCGGATTCAGAGATAGATAAGGGTCAATATCAGCAGCAACGGAGGAAATCGGCGACGAGAATACGAGAGTTAACGAGAGAGCTCCGGTTAGGGTTCCGATTACCGACTTTTTGAAAATTTTACTTAGACGACCAGAGCAGTCAAGTTGTGACGGAGGAGGGTATTCCGGGAACGATTGCGGCGGTGTCACCGTTGGTGACGTGGCGGATGAAAATGGAAGCAAAAGCCTCATCTTTTGTTTAACGGTTTAGTTTTTATTGGTTGGTGATGATTGAAGATTCGTATTTGTATGGTGCAAGCAACACTATTTAGTAAGTAATATTTTTTATATTTTATTTTTATTGCATAAAATGAAGGTAGCAAAAGTAGCCCAATATTACAAAGCCCACTCTAAATATTCAACGGTCCATATTTTGTACTAGGAAATCACCTGAGA